TCCAACATAACTCACATCAAAAGAAGTCACAGAAAAAGCTTAAATAAAAACAAAAGAAACAAATCAGCAGTAAGTAAACACATAATATATTCATTCAACTCACCATCTTGAGTTGTCTTTAAAATACCTCGAACTATCACAACCTGCCCACCAAACAAAAAACACAATTCTTAATCTTCCAAATAGAATACATACACGGCAACATCAAAACAAACATAATCTAAAAAAACCAAAGCTCATCCAATAAAAAATGAACATTTCGAGGTCTGAAATCAAATTAGCTATTATCAATAATCAATACCCAGAAAATAAAAAAAATCCAACAGTCTTTCTTTTTCTAAAGCATATTTACTAAACAGATTCAAATTTCCTAAGACATAGAAGTGAGGTTCACTGAAATCAGGATCTAACATCAAAAGCAAGAAGAAATGAATATAAAAGGATCTAAACCGAGACAGATCCGAATAAAGAAAAAGGACAGGGGAAGGTCAAACCTGAGAGAGAGGCGGCGTTGGAAAGAAGAGAGATGAAGACTGTTAGAACTCTCTCTTGAATAAGAGGCACAAAAAGGAGGATATGCCGTATTTATAGTCGATGAGATGCCGACGCAGTCCGCATGAGAGAGTGAGTGAGAGGGATAAAAGCTAGGGTTTTTCTCTTTTCCTTTTGGGGCTTTGGGCTTTGGGCTTTGATGCTTGATGTCTGAATTTAAAAAGCTTTCGATTCTTTCGGATATTCTTTTCATCATCGTTGATTCTTTTTTAAACGTAGAATTATGGATCTTGCACGGCAAGTTTCAAATTTAATGAATATATATATATATATATATATAGTAGTTGGTTCGGTTTGTTTCTAAAATAAGACTAATTCAATTTGGCAATTTAAATAATAAGCTTTAGGACACGATGGGTTATCCTTTACATTTGCAAATTTGATTTAAACGAAGAATGATAATAGATTGAGTTAGATTTAATTTAATTATTTTAATTAATTATAATATTTTAAAATTTTAAAATATAATTTAAATTTAAATAAATTTTATTTTAAAATTGAATTGATCCAAATTAAATTTTATTTATTTAATTAGATTAAATTCACTAATATTTGGAATTTAAAATTTTTTAATTTATTATTATTTTGATTTTTAAGTTATGTTGTTTATCTCTATACTTTAATCAAATAATAAAATTAATTCTTTTACTTTAATGTGTTTGAAGTGAATTTTTATTTATCAATTAATTATTGAATCTAATTAAATTATTAACAATTTAAATATTCTTCTTTAAAATTAATGAGATGACATTTGATTTTTTTTTACGTGGCATTTTTTTGCATATATAGTTATTGACTTTGATGACGTGTTAGCCATATCATCCTTTTTTCTATGTCAACTTTTTTCAATTGTATGGGACGTCCTAGCATTTTAATCAAAAAATAAAAGTAATTTTTTATTTTAATGTATTCTAATTGAAATTTTTATACATTAATTTATCGTTAGGATTTGATCTAAGATAAGCACAAAAAAAATTTAAAATAAATCTTTTTCAGTCCAAATGGATCAAGTCGTAATGAGGTTATATAAATTTTGATTTTAATTATGATTTTTTTCTCACATTTAAATAATTTTTTGGACATTTGAATTATTAATTGGATTTTAATTTTGGCAAATCGGACTTTAATCTCTAATTGGATTTTAAGTCTAACATAAACCATTTTTTTTTAATTTTTTTATCCATCTTTTTTTTATTTCATTTGATTTCATTTTTTTATTTCTATTTCAATATTTTTAAAATTTAAAAATATATAAAATATAAAAATAAAATAAAAGGATAAAAAAACAACAAAATAAAAAACAAAAAAAATTAAAAAAAGACAAAAATGCATAAGCCAAATCAAGAAACCCAAAATCAATAAACCCAATAAATCATGATACACAATCAACAATAGAATCAATCAATAAGAAAACTTCAAAAAAACAAACACGATCAACATAAGCAAGTTTTTATGGAAAAGTTCTTTTTTTAGAGGTTTTGAATTTATAATTTTAGGGCATTTTATTCAAGTTTTAGGTTGGTGATAAAAAGAGTGGAATTTTTAAAGAGTTTCTGTTTGCTTTGGACAATGGTACATGATAGAATAGACAATTAGGGTTTTCAATTTTGGGATAATATCTGTATTTAGTTGAAGGGATTTAGGAATTTTGATTTGATAAATGAAAGAGGGTGTTGTTTTTATCTCTAAAAAGATTTTTGTTGTTGGTGTTCTATAGACAATTGCTTAGGATAGTGTTGGTGGCCAGTTTTTAAGTATTGGCGGCTTTGGGTTTTTGAGATAAAATTTTCAGGGTCATTGTATTCTCTAATTATTAGATTCTCAAAATCTCACTAGAGTTTCGGTTTGCTAAAATTTTCAGTGGAATTTATAAACAGAATAAAGAGAGAAAACGAGGAAAAAAGACGGGAAAAAATGAAAAATAAAATAAAGTAGTTTATATATATATAACATGTTGAAATGGTATCATTTTGAAAAGCAAGTTTGATTCGACTCGTGTGGATTCATACGTTGACTTGATTACAACTTGACTTGTTTGCACTGAATTTTTTTTTCTTGATCCATTATTTTCAAGATAATTTCACTAGGTTTGTAGCAAAGTAGTGTGCTTAGTTAAACCGTAATAAATTTTGCTTCTAAAATGATTTGGTTAAAGCTTTCCTAACACAATATAAATATGCTAAAGATATAGCATCAAATAAGTTATCCTTATAGACACAGAGAAAAAGTCAACTGAAACTTTCAAGTACAACTAACCTTAACGGAGAAAGAAATTACTATTATATTTATCAATTCCTTAAATACTCCTTATTACGAAAGAATAATCAGAAATACTCCAAAATCTTTATTGACATGGTGATTTTTGAAAAAAAATAATGAAAAATGTAATTAAAAATAGCAAGATTAAGTTGAAAGATGCTGCAGATGTTGAAAAAAGAAGTACATCAAAAAAGAATAATGGGGAGGTATAAGCAATCACACTTGAAGGTCATCTACCCAAGAACTTCATCTCATATGAGAGTTATTGTGATGCAAGCTTTCAATAGAATTATGCAACAGGATTAAATCAATTTTGTTCGATTTATTGGTTGATCATCAAATAAATTTAATAAATTTGGGTGAATTTTAATTTTCAATTAATATAGTTTAAAATCGAATTAATTGAATGCATAATCGAAATATGCTTCAAATGAAACGTATTGTATTTTCATGAGGTAAAATATTCAGTTAACTAAAATATTTTATTTTTGCTTAACTTTTGTATAGCATAATTTTAATATTTTATTGTTTTAAAAAATTAATTAAATTAATAATTTTGATTCAATTAATAAAAATAAAATAATTCAATTAATTCAATTTGAAATAATTCAGATTTGATATTAATGGAACCAACACAATGAACGTCCTAGCTAGCAAATAAAAGTATACTATACTCAATGTAACATTGACCTATATTTCAAAGCCAGATGTAGGTTTGCAAATCCCATATCAAAAGATCAGCCATGTTCGATGAGAGCGCTAGTGCCAATTAATCTAAGAGGACAGTGGGGAATGAGATGTGGAGTGGTGAATAGGGAAGTACTTATCGATAAATTATAAGTTTAATTCAATTAAATTATGTAATCATTTTTTAAATGTGATATATAATATATTTAAATTTAAATCTTATCATCTTCAATCTCTTTCTTTATCTCCGGTCAATGACCTCCTATGATAAAAAAAAAAAATTGCTTATTGATAAAGCATCAATCTAGATTCATGAGTTTCTTGACAAGAGCTCGTATATGTGACACTAGGTTGCAACTAATAATACACAAGGATGAAAAGGATATCCGACTATGAAAATGCACTGCTTTGATGGGAGCAGAGAAAGTTATATAAGTAGGTAACTGAGCAAATTAATAGCCACATCAAGATTATTACTGCAGAAAAACAATGATAACATTCATAACAATCCAAAAGAAAGATTTTATTGAGGTTTAATGCATTGAAAAACAAAACTGAATCCCATAAACTCTCCTAGATGGCCATTTACCATAATTATTGACAGGTACATAATCAAGTGCTTCTCGTTCTTTCTCTCTGTCTCATGCAATTGTAAGGGCAATCATCACTTCGGCAATCCCATTGTTTCCACTTCAAGGAATTTGGTTCTTCCATATACCACAGACCATCAATGGCAGGCAGCAAGCATCTTTCCCCACGCATACAGTTTTATCACATTGTGCTATAAAAGCTTTAAAATTCAGAACATTCGATGTAGTAACTGCCTAAGTGTCAAATTCTAATCAACTCATACACAAAAGACAAACAATTTCAAAGAACGGATCTACCTCCATCCAATTAACCACTAATCAATCAACACTTTGCATTCTGTTCAGGAGACAATCTTAATCACCTGGAAAAACCACCAGAATTGAAGTACCGAACAGAGTACAAAAAGCCTGGTAATTAAATAATCAAATAAATACATTTCGATTCTATCCCAAATACAAATGGATCACTCACTAGGATTGAACCACTGAACAGGTTGTAGAATCTAAAGCAACCATAGGATTCACATAAATTTTGAAGAATGATGATGAAAGATCTTACAAATAGCATTGCAATGTCCTTAAGAAAATATCCTAACAATTAGAACTCAAGATTTTCAAATTAAAGGCTTTGATTCAAATCTTGAGAAAAGATGAAGTGTATGAAATGAAAGAGAGTTGCTTCATAATCCACAATCCCAAATCCCAATAAGCTTCCATATGTACCCATAAAAGGGCACAAATATAAATCCACAAGCATACAAGTTTTTTTTTTACAAAGAGGACGCAGCAGTCTGGGATTATGGAAAGAAGTTGTAGGTACTGAAATTTGAATCCAAACTTGCTGGATGCCACCTGTGACACTAGAATTCTAGGGAAATCATATTGAAGAACAACAAAATCCGGAGCCAAAGTTTTAACAATAATTCCAGTGTTTTTAATCTATTATTTCAAAGATAATGAGTAAAGACAAAATATAAAGCAATCATCTTTTCTTGAAACCATATTTTTTACGTTCATAGAACAAATCTGTTTTGGCACTCCCCACATTAACGATTTTGGGACAACCATCTCGATCTTTCTCTAGCAGCGTACACTCTTTGCAGTAGTAAGCATCAGAAATTCCCACTCCTCCGCAGATGACACACCTACCCTGAAATGACCCATAGTTGCATTCATCACAAACCCGCACAAGCGTGCACGGTCGTACTAAAGAGTCACAGATTACACACTTGCCATCACATTTCTCACATAGTCGTCCTATGGCAATACCTGGTTGTTTCCTGCACATGATCAAATCAGGATGGTGCTTCGCCATTGCTTTAATCAACCACGTTCTCTAATTCCTGTAACTAAAAAAAAAAAAAACAAAACACAGAGGGCAGGGAAAAAGAAGGGCGAACTTGAAAGAGAAAGAAGAGCTGATTGAGAGGAAGACTGAGGAAATCATCTGCTTGTTTTTCTCTTTCTTATATGGCCTGTTTGCGTGCCCGCCACTTCTTTTTCTTCCTTCGAAAGTTTGGTTGATAGTGGTATTTTTTAAAAATTATTATTCTATAAATTTTATATGTGAATTAAAGAATTGATATGTACTTTTTAATAATTAATAGTTTTTTTACTAACTAATAATTAATAATTTACTAATTTTTCTAAATATAAAAGTGTAAGTTAAAAAAGTCAAAAAGTTTAACGAATGAAAATAGAAAAATAACTGCCGTACATAAATTTATGTTTAACCTGTCTCATTCCACATTCAAACTATTGTTTTTTGCGACTTTTTTTTAATATTGGAAGGTAAATTTTGAATCTAATTATTTAAATAAAAAATAAATATTTATTAATTATCAAATCAAATGTTCTATTCTTAATTAAAAAATGATTTATGAGCCATCAACAAGTCAAGAACGATAGGCCTCGCCTACTAAAGCTTTATGAGTGAGTTGGAAATTTTCCACAAGCAACTCGCCATCAGAAAAGTTTAATTTTAGTAATGTTTCTTCATCCTTGTCTGATTTATAATGGAATTTATTGTAAAATCCAGTAATTATTAATGATTGTTCATAGCATGACATGGACAAGTAAAAAAGCAACATTGCTGAAGAAAATCAGAGAGATGGGCTTAATGATTAAAAGTTGAACTGATTAGTAGCATATTTCATATTTATTATCTTCTTCTGTGATATTATTATCAATAGCAAATTTAAAAATTTTTTCAAGTTTTTTATATAATATATATATATATATAATTATTCATAAATTTATTAATTTTATCACTAAAAAAATTAAGGGTATTTAAGAAAATTTTCTTGTTTTTCAATTTTTGGGATCCATGAAGTAAAATTATAAGTGCCTCATGTAAGAGTTACAATGCAAAAGTGACAAATGGTTATTGCTGTTATACCTAACTTTTTTTAAAATTTTTTTAAATTAACATTTTTAATTTGCTTAAGTAGTTAGGTAATATTTAATAGTTAGGAAATAACAATAAAAAAAAACTCTTGGCTTTAGGTGATTAATAAAATAATAAGGTATTATCAAATACTATTATTTATTAAATTTAATTCTACATAAACATTGCTTAGTTAATTTTATTTATCCCTTTATAGATTGTTAATTGTTAGATGATGGCATTAAACATGTTTAATACTTATTACCATTGAAATTATACTCGTCACAATTACAAAATTATAAAGTAATTATTTGGTGTTAACAATTAATTTTTATGGTTTTTTTGCCAATTCATTAACCTTTATGGTTTAATTTAGTAAAAATTCCAATTTTAAGTTGTTTTAATATGCTAATGAACAATTAACAAGCCAAAATTATCAATTTCATATTAAATTTTTTTTTAACTTGTATGTTATAGTAATACAATTCTAAATCAATCTTAAATATTTTTTTGGTAATTATCCAATCATATCATATATCACATATATTATTATATTACAACATATATAGATGCCTTATAAGACTTGCTACATGAATGTTTATGTGAATAATTTTTTTAAATAACATGTCAAATAGTTTTTTAAAGAATATATCTTCTTTTAATTACAAATTGGATAATTATAAATTTATTTAAATATCAAAATTATTTAAATTATAATTATAAATCAAATTAATCTAGAAATATGCTTTTTTAATTAAAATTTTGCAATATTGATTTTATCTAAATAATTTTAATTTTTTAATAGATAACTTTATTTTATAAGTTTTTTAAATACGAAAATCTTTCAACATGTTTTAAAACTATAAAGATTAAAATCTTTCATAAATTCACTATATTTTTTGTCTTAATTTTTATCAAACAAAAATTATCTTTTTAAAAATTTACATAAAATGTTAAAAATTCAAATAGTGTTTTTATATTAAATCTCTAAATAATAAGACATATTTTCATCTCAACTTTAACTATCAATTTTATATTTAAAAATAGATAAAAAATTTAATTTAATATTTATGGCTTATTATATTCTTTTGATTTTTTTAAATATTAATATGAAAATTATATATTCAATCTTAAATGTCATCCAAGAGTTATTTTAAAAATTAAAAATTATAAATGTAATATGTTATATCATTTTATTGCTATTATAATTTATTTTTCGGTTTGCATCTTTTTTTTTCAAGGTATATTATATTTGTATTGCTAATTTGTTCTTATAAAAATTAATTTTTTTTTTATTTTTTTTTCACACGATCTCCTAACATTTTTTTTTTCATATTTTGTGCAATAATTTGAATAAAATTTCAAAAGTAAAAGCATGTCTATACTTGTTTTATTATTTAATTCATCATTCAATAATATATACTTTTTTTTTCTTTTAAAAAAGACATGTAATTTATTTTGATTTGATATAAATTTTAAGTGTATAAATATTGTTGCAAACAAAGATGGTACAAAGTAAAAGTATGTCATTTTTTTCTTACTTTTTTTTTTTAAATTTATTTTTTATGACAAGTTAGTTAGATATAAAATTTTTTATATGCTATAAAATTAAAATTTTGAATATAATAAAAAGAATATTAACTTATATGTATATATACATGAAATAAATAAAATTATTTTATATATCGCACAGATTATAATTTAATTTAATAATATATAACTATACTTTGTGAGTTGGTTTAGATAAATCAATAAAAATCCTTCAAAAATGATAAGTCAATAAATAATAGTAAATATTTTAACTTAATATTTTAATTTGGGATTTTTGAAAAGGTATTAGTATTTGTAATCAATGCATCACACTTTAATATTTGTTATTTTATTTATTTATAAATATGAGTACAATAGATGAATAGTCATATAACTATATGGATCTTTTTAAAATAATTATCAAATTATTATAATTTTTAATTTAATTACTAACATTTGAATAAATTTTTTTTTTGTTATTCAACCATTAATCTTTTAACAAAATACTGATTAAACATACCATATCAACTGTTAAATGCTACAATTAATTGACTATGTATAAAAGTCAAATTTTGTTTTTTTTTTCCTTCACTTTATGCTTTTTATCTTCTTTCTTCCCTATTCTCTCTTCCTTCTCTTTCTAAAATATAGCTACAATCAATGGAAAACTCAAGAAATTCAATTTTTAATCCACATCCACTATGTCGATCGCTGTTCGATGGCACCATAAATGCCCCGAAAGACTTTTTTTCCTTCTCCTTTTAGTTTTTCAATTAGTTTTTCAAAGAAAAAAAATCTTTGAAAAACCTAGATTTAAGATTTAGTCTCGTGATTTCAAACTCAAAATACACACATTCGTTGTTTCAAAACTGAATTACATCTTAGTTTATTTCTTCTCTACACTTGACCTTTCTTATCTCTAATTTTCGAATCCCAAAACCCTCTTGAACAAGCCAAACTTGAAACCCTCTTTTTTTTTTCTTTTTTTTTGTACTTTGTTTTGCTTCCTTTTTCTGGAGGATGAAATTGACATATATATATATATATATTGTTTTGATTCTAATTGTGATTTTTTAAGGTAAAAAATGAGATTTTTTTGTGGTGATAAAATGTGGTTTGGGTAAGGACAACGGGGGTTGTTTTAAAGTTTTGGTTATTTGAATTTTTATAGGATTTTGGTTATTTGGATTTTGTTTTCGGGTCTTAAAAATAGTAGATAAACTTGAAAAGATAAAAAATTTTGGCTATTTGGCTATTTGGATTTTGTTTTGTTTTTGTTTGGGTTATTTCAATTGTTTATTTTATTAATGATGGATAAAGAGAGAATGTGTTGTTCCAATGGTGAAGATGGCGACAATGATTGATTTTCAGTTGGTAAGTGTGTTTTAGCTATTGATGATGACTCTATTTGTCTAAATATTTAGTTTACTTGTTAGAAGTAAAGAGAAAGGATGAATAGAGAGCTAGGAATAATGGAGGAAAGAGAAAAGAAATAAAAATTTTATTATTGAAAGGGGAAAAATAAAAAAAAATTTATTTTATATTTTATTTTAATTTTTATTGTTAATGACATGTCAATTTTAATCATATGATATTTTTGATAATATGGACATGCCATGTCACAATTGACATCATATGTGATATATGTAGTTGGAACTCTATTAGAGATTAAATGTTTAATGGTAAAAAAAAAGAAAAAACTCAAACGTTAATGGTTAAATTAAAAAATTTAATAATTTGGTGATCGTTTTAAAAAGATTCATATAATTAGGTAACTATTCATGTATTTTACCTTAAAACTATATGGTTGGATATTTTACAAATAAATATACTAATAAATGAATTAACATGTAAAGTTTGTTTCATGCAAATTATATCAAGTTAATATAAATTTTATAATTTTTTAAGTTAATCTAAAATTAAATTAGCTGTAAACTTTAATTTCTTTTTATTTATCAAATACATTTTAAAATTTTTTTAAGATTAATAAAAAATTAAAAATCTGAAAATAAAACATGTAACTTTTAACTATTTTTTTTTATTTATTATCAAATAATTTGCTTAACGAAAGTCTTTTAATGATTAAAATTCTTACAATAAATTAAATAAATCTTATTATTAATATAAATTATTTATAATGGTAATTCATAAATATAATGAACAACAATGACTATTTACCAGTTCAAAATTTTCTTTACATTCAAGCTTTTATATAAATATATATATTATGAATTATATATCTAATTATGTCAATTCGAGGTTATATATAAATATGGTATGTAAAGTAATTCACTTTATATTTTGATAATTCTTTTATTTCGTATTTTTATATACAATAAGATATTTGTAATTTTATCAAATTTGGTAAATAATTTTACTCCGAGGAAATATCTGCTTACATCTCGTTTATATTTTTTAAATGGTTTATATTTTATTAATCTAATTGTTGAATTTTATGCTTTATTTTTTTAAAAAATAATATTTATATTCTATTTACATAAATTATGCATGCAAAATTTAAGTTAATTAAAAATATCTAATTATTAGTTTAATAATAATACAATTTCAACCAATAACATGTATTACAAAACATTATTCTTGTTTAATATGATAGGATATTGGATTTACTAGATAATTTATGTGCATGATAGTTATGAGTAACTTGTTAAATCTAAGGATTGATTTATGAAAATATCAATTGTACATTGAATTATAAAAAATATAAAATAAATTAATTTTGTACTTATGTAATATAACTTGATCCCTCTTCCTTTATAATACATATTATGAAGTTAAGACTTTTGACATGGTTTTATTAGCATATTATAGCAGTACAGTGATAAAACCAAAACCATTCAAACATAATGGTTTGAATCTACACAAGAATTGAATTATTCAATGTTACAAGTTTAACATCCATCTCATAATCCAATTCCAGCAAAATTGGTGTTTCAAGTTTCAACCAACTGGGAATCCCAACTAAGCAATCTCCCTTTTATGTATCATAACAAGAACAAATAATAGGGAGAAATGATAAGCAAAAACCTTACGCCAATTAATAAGACAGGTTTTTAAGTGGTCAAGCTGCTATAAGATGATAGACGGTTTACATGTCAGTTTTACAGGGGGCTACTTAGCCTTCTTAAGGAGGTTGGAAGTTCGAAACTTGGCGTCGTCCCTAATGAAGCTCCACCATAGGCAGGTAAGTGGAATAGTTGTGGCATGCCATAGAGCATGGGCATCAAAGAATCCTTGATAAGGAGGGAAATCATAGATCTCCAGAAGCATTGCAAGGCTACCTCCAATGACCACCACCCACAACTTCCAGCGAGAAGGATGGCGAGTCATACCAGCCCAAATTGTCCAAATGAGAAGTTGAGCAACCCCCATGACTACACAAACTTTCATGTTCCACCCTGTACAATGTTTCATATCTTGTTATTGTAGCCAATAATGGAAGAAAATTACATGTAGAAACCTCCAAGGCATGATGTTCTTTCAATGAAATTATGCAACCAGGATCATTATTAAAGCACTGGTTAAACAATAGATGCTCGTCCAATTTTGTATTCCTAATGAGTATATGACAACGCAAACTGTTGAAATTAAGTGGAATATCTTTTTTTAAGTTGTATAATTAACTAAGAACATTTTTATGCATACTTAATGTCTTAACCTTCATGAGCAACCCCCATGACTTTGCAAACTTTCATGTTCCACCCTGTGCAATGTTTCATATGATGTCATTGTAGCCAGTAATGCAAGAAAATTATATATAGAAGCCTCTAATGCATGATGTTTTGTCAATAAAATTATGCAACCAGGATCAATAATAATGCACTGGTTAAAGTAGAGATGCTTGTCTAATTTTGTATTCCTAATGAGATATGTGACAATGCAAACTGTTGGAATCAGGTAGAATATCTTTTGCAAATTATATAATTAACTAAGAATATTTTATGTATACTTAACCCTCAGATAATAAAATGTTAAAGCAGAAACTACCAAATAACAGAGACGTTACCGTAGTCAAGTGTATAGAAGTTGAGGTACAATATATGGGTAGTCACAAAGGCAAGAAATGGAGCAGCAACCATGACTCTGGCAGCCTCATCTCTCACATTAAAACTTCTCAGTATGGCTAAGATAAGAGAATAACCAAGCAGTGCCACAGCAGATGAGTAGTCTAATTTTTCTGTCAAATCCACATCACTGTGGTTCAAGTAGACATGTCAGACTCAGAAACAAGAACAGAATGCGTGCATACATACAGTCACTAAGAGAGAGAGAGAGAGAGAGTAATTAAAGTTTCTAAGCATGTGTGTGATTTGTGAGTAGGTCAACTTAGCTAAATATTTTCTGCTCTAAACAAAGCATCAATAAAAATGCAATATGCCAACATGTGCACCAATTAACAGACAGAAAGCATGCACCTAAACATATAAAGGGTCACTTTCACTGGTACACTGAGAAAAATCTCGAGCTGCTAGGCATAATTACAAACTATGTTACTCTGTTCTTTTTTTTTTTTAACACATCCATGCTAATGCACTTCTTAAACTAGACAATGATCCTCAAAATATAAGGAAAACCTCACAAAAATTTAAACATACCCAACTTTGACACTTGAACCTAAGTACAAGCAACATAGAATACAGAATCAAATAATGAGAGAGATGCCAAAATGTAAATGGCTAGTTCTATTTACAATGCCAGTTTTAGGATCCGACAATGGCAAGGCAGCATTAGGCAAGAAGCATCTTATTTCACTAGATTAGTTTCTTTCAAGTCCATGTGTGACCTATTTTATTTATCGATATATTACTAACAGTAACAAATGTTATTATTTGCATGTATGGCTATCATATATGAGAAAATATACCATTTGCTGGTACCTTGCCTTTCCCCTTGTTACATTGGTGTTATAATGTTGATATAAGCAGAAAAAGATCCCAGCCAAAACAAAAAATAAACTCTGCTCCATGTGACATTGACCTATATTTCCAAGTAAAACCTACGTTGGCAGGTTTCATCTCAAAAGAATCACGCATGTTGACGCATAGTTCCAGTCAAATTTATCTGAGTGGGAAAAGGTGGGTGGAGATGTGAATGGAAAAAATGCCTACCGACTATGGAAAACAGCACTCCAGAACCATGAGTTCATTGACAAGAGGCCATATATATGCCACAAGCTTGCGAACTCATAGTATGCCTTCTTATCTTGTTTCAAAGGCAAGTTGTAGTAAAGAAGGATGAAAAAGGATAGCCAACCATGAAAATGCATTGCTAGGTTGAGTGCAGAGAAAGCTACAGAAGCTGGTTCCTGAGAAAATCAATAGCCAAGTCAAGACAAATATTGAAAAAAACAATGATTACATTCCAAAAAAATCTAAAAGATATCTTTATTGAGGTCTAATGTATGAAAAAAAAAAAAAATGCAAACCTGAATTCCAAAAACACGCCTGAAGGGCCATTTACCATGATACTTGACAGGTCCATCACCAAGTGCTTCTCTTTCTTTCTCTCTGTCAATCATGCAATTGTAACGACAATCACTGTGGCAATCCCATTGTTTCCACTTCAAGTAAAGTGGTTCTTGCATATACCATGGACCCTCAATGGCAACCCTGTCAGAAGGAAATTTGCAGTGTGGAAAGCATCTTTCCCCGACACATCCAGTTTTCTCACATTGTGCCACACAAGCCCTAAAATTCAAAACACTCCATGTTGTTAACTCTAACCAATCCATACAAAGAAGTATAAGAATCAGGAGTAAATTAATTTCAAGTTAGAGAGAAAGGAGTGTGACATGCTACAATCCATCATAAGTACAAATCGTTGCTCCATTTCAAATTATACAGAGCATTACTTTATTCTTTTATCTTTCTTTCTCTCTCCCATAAAACACAATGATATATGTGCATTTCTTCATAAATATAATTTCACAATGATATACCTTTTGGCTGACATTAGGTAGGAAACACAAAGTGCTGATGACCTCCATGAACTCCAAACAAATTGGCAACATAAAAAGACTTAAAACCTAGGGAAGCTCATCAATGATCCACATGAAGTACCACCCTATTACGATGGACAAGAAATATCTATGGTCTGAGATCATATCACCGAATGCAATTACCCTTGCACTGCAAGTTTGAACACATGCTTGGAAAATGACGAAAAATACCCCATGCTACTCCCATTAGGCTGCAAACTCTAGTATTTATTTTCTTGCCATAATCTTTTCAAGCACATGATGATACATTCAGTTATTGTTCCAGGAGTCAGTCAAGCAACTCAAACAATTGAAAAAATTTCTCTAGACAAACAATCATGTGTGATTGGTCAAGACTATTATCTACAACAAAGACTCAAGACTCAAGTTGAGATTAAGTTCCACTCAGCCCTCCTATTGAGGTTTGACCTGTGACTGAGCATCACAATAGGAATGTATATCCTGTTGAATCACCTAATAGAATAACTTACATCAGACCAGTATTTAAAATAGCTGTTCCTAAGTTCCTAAAGTGTGTTGGATAGGAGTAGATGCAAGAGTGTGGGACTGTCAAATTAAATCTGGACAAAGCTCACGCTTTATTACACCTATGCAGACATAAGTGTGTATGAATGTTTATTATGAATGTATGCACATAAAAATGTTTATTATGAATGTATGCACATAAAAACAATGTCCTAAATATAGACCCCGCTAAAAATGTTTAACAAGTAAATTGCAGTGCTATGGAGAAAATATTTAGTGTTCCTACAGCACAGTCTACATAGATTCATAGAACTCCATGATCGGTTAAAAAATTAAAAGGGAAACTGAAAAAAAAAAAATCATAGAACTTCTCATTTGTAAATGCAGAAACTTGAAGACATCATGACAGACAATTGTATAAGTATCACATAGTCTTATATACTGCTTTGATTCAAAGGGACCAATCCAACCCTAAGTGTCTGACGGGGCATTAAATATTAATTAATGTATATTATTAGCTTTAAGAAGACAGAAAATTTTCAAATAAAAGGCATGTTTAAATGAGCTATTTTTACTTTCACTTAATCGATGACCAATTAACTAAATATCCTATAAAGCAGTTTTTAGTTTCAGTGAGGTGCTAATCTTGATGACTTATCACCTCAGCAGACATGCTTGTTGACGTTGGCCTGCCTTGAGGGTTTTAGGGCATTTTATATAATACATTATCTCTCCCAAGCAAGTACCTATCAGCTTGTGTTTGACAACAATGATGCCTTAAAACCATTAAGACTAAAGGAAGAAATACTAACAAGTTAACTCACTGCCACAAACACTTGCAATCAAAAAGGACGTTTGTTATTGTGACCAACATGAATTAGCCTTAGACTTCAAAATTAGTCTTGATACAGCCACAGTCCATGCTATCAATATGGCATCAACCTTATTCAGCCTCCCTTAACCATGAAGTCTCTTTGACTTACAATAACATATTTGTAGATGCACATTTTCATACATACTCAAAGCTGTTCGTCCTTAGATACTCAGGGTGTTTAATCAGAACCTTATTATAAAAACATTAAAATTCCTGGTCTTACCAAGAACCAATATGAAGAACTATCCATAAAGGAAGCAAGAACCAATTTTTAGGACTTTCGTCATGAACATTAAAACAAAACTATTTACACTTTGTTGAAATCCTTAGTTTCTGAACTTAGAGTTTAGCTCAGTTGGTTTATGCAAACCCCTTAAGAGTTGGCATCCTGGGGCTCAAATCCCAGCACCTGCAACCCCTTCTCTTATCACCAGGCTACAGCCTCCTTTGTACCAAAAAAAAAAAAAATCCTTAGTTTCTCATCTTTCAAGGTAGAAACACATAACCGTCACAATATGCATCCTATTGCAATCCTGATCTGAAAATAAGTGCCCTTAATAGTTAACCAAATGAATGGTATAACAATTATTTCAAATTCACGCCTATTCCAATCTAACAACTAAGTGATATACATGACTATTGCAACTTGCAGTGCACAATCTAAGTTCCAAACTTTATAGGCTTAATAATGTCTCAAGATCCCTGGGCATCCATGTCGAAAATCCATGACCAAGTATCGTTTGCATTGAAACATATAATAACTGAGAGCAATTACCCAGGATAGTTGGAAAATTAATTTATGGTTTTCCTTCTATGAACAAACTTATATGATGCATAAACTAATGGCAGATCATTATATACAACAAAAGTAATAAAAAAAAAAGAATTATAGGTGATGGAGGAAAAAAAGAAACACAGAAAAACCTGTAACGTAGATCAGAATCACCAGCACTAGCATCCAATACTCCAACAAGAAATGAAAGCACCAGAAACAAAGCTATTGAATAACGATCTATCATCATCTGATTGGAAAAATGTCAGTACCAAAAAAAATGTCAGAAACCATTTGAAACTAAGCAATAGGAGCTTAAAAAATTTGGTGGGCAAGTTTAATATCTGGGCTTTTTCATTTTTAACTAAAAATGAGATTGAAAAAACATAGAAGAAAGTATTGCAAGATCAAAATAGGTCAAACAAATGAAGAATATGAGAAAAAAGGAGAGTAATTTTGCCTTTTTTTTTTACCTTTTGGTTGGAGAATGCAGTTGGCCTGCTCCAAGGTTAGATTTTGAACGAGAAAGAATGGAGGAAGTTGGCTTCTTTGGACTTTTCAGATTGGCTCTGGTAAAGAGAGAGAAGGTTGACATGGTTTCAGAAGGCAAAACAATGTTTTGGGCTCATGTTTGACTCATAGGCCCAATCTAACTTTCACTGGATTGGTCATGAGTCAATGTTTGGGTTTTTTAAACTAATGTAATGTGTTTAAGTATTACTGAAAATTAAAAGACCAAAGATCAAATGATCCTAAGTCTTTTTTGGTTTTTTAATACTAAAATTTTCTTTTCCTTTCTTCTTAGTAGAACTATTCCTCTTTTGATAAATCTGCCTTTTTAAAGAATCTAATTCCTTCGTTTCTAAATGTCTATATTCTATTCAAGAACTGCTTTGCAAAATCAAAGTAAAAGGATTTCTAGAAGTTGAGTGCACAATTGTTGACCACTCGAGGTGTAACTATTTCTTGCATGTGCAAAAGTTTAACCTTCTTCCCATTGTAATCAATGGAAATTTTGTTAGTAGAAAGTTAGTTGGTTTGACCTGCCATTCCCTATGATTCCTCCCAGCCGCAATTACTGTTTTACTTTTTTTTTTTTTTTTATAAAAAAAATTTGAAATAAATAAGTTATTGAGTAGTTTAGATCAAGATAATATATATCGTACTTGATAGTTTAAGATAAGTGATTATAAATCATGTATTTGAGATGATCTTAATAAATGATCATCGATAGAACTGAAATTCAAAATTTTTTTGTTAAAAAAAACGATCTTAACCGATTAAATCAATCACTTATTAATATTTTATATTTTTTTAATAAAAAAATTACAGTGGCTTGGTAGAAAAAAAAAACTTTTTTTAATTATTATAAAAATTAATTACATTAAATTTCAGATTCAATTATTGTCCAACTTTGAAATACATTATTCTTCAAAAAAAAAAAACTTAAAGTACATCAATTACTTTAGTTAAGAGATTAAATGGTAAGTAGTCACTTATATATATATATATATATATATATATATAAGATTTAGAAGTACAAATTCACCTAACAAATATATTGAAAATGGTGTAATCAAGCATTGACATGGGACAAACTCAAAGGGAGTGAGTGCCTCATTGATCCTTTCAACACTGTTAATCAGACATATTACCGAACATTGAACATTCTACATGTAAACTAGAACATAGTACGAGCACCAAGTCCCACGGTATTGTGCCAACTTGTTTTCTTGATCGTATATTCGAAACATTATTACAGATTGTCACATGATTTATACTTAATTTGATAAATCTAGGCTTCAGATTTAAGTGGCAAATTAGAAAATTTTGGGGAGTCAAAGTAGAATTTTACCTTTTTTCTTACTTTTAAAAATATATATTCTTAGTTTGCACAAGCAACTATGGTCGTGCGATTTAGGAATTGGAATAATTGATTGATTTTTTTTTTTTTTTACATATTTTCAATTAATTTATTAGAACTCAATATTATAAATATTTTAAACATTAACAAGTATTTTTTTAGTTTCTTTAGGGCAGTTTTTTGTTGGTTATTTATTATTTTCATTTCTTATTATAATTTTGTAGAATATTATTATTCTTTTTATTGTTGCATAATACATTAAAAAAATAAATTAACAACATTGAAAAGTCATTATGAATATAACAAATTTTTGCATTAACATTTTTTCATTACAAATATAATAAGAAATCGCGACAATAAAATTATCATTGTTTAAAATATTTAAAAAATCAATTAAGCAACTATTATGAAAAGTTGTTGTCAATTTTATACGACTTTGTAATAATTTTTTTATCGTTATAAATATAGTAAAACTATTCACAACAATTTATTCAGTATTTTATAAAATATTAAAATAAATAAAATAATAATATTAAAAAGTCGTTGCAAATATAATAAGTGTTCATAACAATTTTATTTGTTATTACAAAAATAATAGAAATTTACAACAATAAAAGCTATTATTGTATCAAATATTAAAAAAATTCAATTAAGCAACTACTATAAAAAAACGTTGCAAATATAACAAATTTTTGCAATAATATTTTTAATTATTGCAAATTGAGGTTACTATAAGCCCATTTTCTTGTAATATATTGCAATATAACCCTCACTATTTTTTAAAATTTATTTTATTATTATACTTGCTAAAACCAAAATCATAAATTTATGGCATTTAGAAAGCAAGTTCAGCTATGGAAAAAATAATCTTTTGTTATTGTTTCTAGAACAGTAACTTGTGAGTAAATAGATAGGGATGGATTTAGTTTAAATAAATAAGATAGAATTTAAATTGCTGTCATGGATGTGTTGCATTTATCATGGTTGTCGATGTAATAGTTGCTACCGTAGTTATTGTGATAACCATGATTGAGATTTTTTTTAAAATTTTGCATAATTTTTTTTTTTTTTTGTAAAATATAGTAATTATTATAATTATAAAAATTTTTTGTTAATGATTTTTAAAGTAATATATGATTTTTTATTATCTTTTATTAAATATTCAAAATTTGGAAAATAGTCATTCTTAGTTATGAATTTTTAAAGAATGTTCATAATTAACAAAATAGAACATTTTAAATGTTAAGCATTCATATTTAATAATATTGCGAACTTAAAATATAATAATTTAAAAGTTCATCCACTACAAATATTGATATATACTCCAATCTTTATCACATTATAGAATGACAAAGAGGATGAAATCCTCCACTTTCACTTTAAAAGCCACCTTGTCCTCATCTTTATGGTCTTTGTCCAAAAATAAAACCATATAAATTAGTATTGTCTCCTTGTTCTTGATGCTTTCGAGGTTGAGGATATATTTAAGGTGAATGATACATTTAGGGTTGATAGAGCACATGATAATTAGGAAATGAAGAAGGCTAAGAAGGACAATAATCATGTGGAGTTAGATAAGCATGGGGAGGTTGAAATTGTGAATGTAGTTTCAGTAGACAATAATCATGTAGCTTTTTATATCCAAATTGCTAGAATTTGATTTCCTATTGAAAACAAAGAGTCTCTAAAAGTTTTTTATTGGTGTTTCTTGCCTTTTCCTTTTCATCAAGCTCTCCATTCACTTCTACCTTGCTAGATTCAAGACATAGATTTACTTCATATTTTGTCATGTCAATGGTTCAGGTTGATAGGATTAAACTATCATTTATCTTGTTAATGCTTAATCTTTCTAATTTCTCATCCTTATCCTCATATTATAATAGGTACAAACTTATTTCTTGCCTTCACATGGATATAGCTATAAATTTGTTTTAATTTCCTTTGCATTGAAGTTGTTTGATTGAGCACTTTAATTGCTATATTTTCTAATTCAAGAACACACGAGTTATATATCATTTACCACTCAACTGTATAAAATTATTTAGAATAAATCTGAATAACCTAAAAATTAACTAATATAAAAGGCTACATGTTTAATTTGATCCTCAATATACGAGGGATCGTTCAATTTAGAAGTTGATTTTTTAATTTAAACAAATCAATACCTAATGTATACAAGATCTAACAATGTAGTATTATGATGGATGAGATCTAGGATGTCTAATATATGTGCCATTAATTTCGTGTGAACCACAAAATGTTTACTCTTTATGTGTGATTTTTATTTGATATGGAAAGGATTTTATTTATTTAATTGATAAAACTCGTTAAAAATATATAAAATGGATTTGGGAAAAATCATTACCAACCCTAAATCTCTTTCACCCAAAATCAATTAACCCCTATAAAAGGACTCATTAGTTAACCAAAATTGATTCACTCAAAATCAATTCAACATAAACTGAAATCCATGACCGATTCAATTAAAATTGGTTCATTATAATGGAAATCCCTAACCTTACCTTTTCTTATTGATTCAACGAAACTGTTTGAGCCTTCGCTTTGGTTCTCGCAAAAAAAAAAAAAAACATAAATCATGAGTTTTCCTAAATTTAAGGGCCAATAATTGACTCATAAAAGTTGTTGTGAGGAGGCCCATGGTAAATCATTTTTTTTTGACAAAAAAATCAAATAAATCATTTCGTCATTGACAAAATATTGTTTATTACGATATAGGTGAAATTTTTAGGCTTATGGTGTGATTGCAAATTGAATGTGAAATTAGATGTGAAATTTAGGGTTTATATACTGACTTAGTACTCTAAACCCTATATTATATATGAATTAGTATATAAATAATATAGATTATATAGCTTTGTCTGAAATTAGTATATAAGTAAGTATGAAAAGAATGATCGATTATTTGTTTCACTTTTTACAAATATGAGTTTTGAATTAGGGATAATAAGGTTTATTATCTGAGAATATTTGTTGGGTTTGGTTAAAATCTTTAGTATGTAAATAAGATTGTTAATGACCTCGCATTTAACCCTGATAAGGTAAGTTTTTATGAGTTACTAAACATATATGAAGAAGTTGTTTTTGTCAACAATATGAGGATATTTTATTTAAAGCCTGGAGACCACTTGGATATGGGCTTAGGTTAGTTTAGGATGATGAAAATACTCTTTATATGATAAAAATAATGATAAATAATGGGTTATTTGATATTTATATTGATCATGGCATAGATGAACCTCATATTATCCCTAATGTTTTGAGTTTACCATCATCTACTTGAGTGAAGATGTAAGAAATGAAGAGGTTATGAATAAGGTAGTGAATACTGAAAAAATAGGTAGTCATGGTGATGTTTTTTATGATAGGGTTGATTAAATTGATTATGCTTCTAATGATAGAGCTGATGTTCAGGAAAAGAATGAGGTAATGAGCAGTCTAGTGAATATTCAAGAAAGGAATGAGGGAGTAAGCATTCCTATAAATGTTTAAGAAAGAATTAAAGGTGTTAGGAGCCTTAGTAGTAAATGAGTGAATATTCATGTAAATGTTTAAGAAGGGAGTGAGGGATTTGAGGTTGAACAAAATGAGCTAGAAAAAATAATAATCTTGAACAAGGATATCAAAGTGAATACTATGATTTAGATGAGTATAATGGTCTTGTAAGTGATAAGGAAGAAATGGTTGATGATGCAACTAAGAGCAAAACTAAATTTTCAATGTATGATCCATTTGCAGTTAGCCATTATATTGAATTAAGGCATATTAGTTGAGAATTCTAGGTAATTTAAACATGTGTCATTATTGTATCTTAAGACAAATTGGGCAATTATTGTGGCTAAAAATAAAAATACTTGTGTTAGAGGTAAGTGTGCCATAAAGAATTTCTCATGGGTTGTTTATGCATTATATGAGAAGAAGCTATAGTCTTTTTAAGTAAAGACTTATATGATAAGTATGGTTGCAACAAGGTGTTTGAAAACCTAAGGTTGACCTAATCTTTATTGGGTAAATTGTATTTTGAAAAGTTCAAGAAATATCATTTGATTAAAAATGCTGAGGTGCAGAGAACAGTCAAAGGTGATTATAATGTTGGAGTCAATATTGGCATGATTAAAAAAGGCAAAAAAATGAGGTTGTTGATAAGGTTGTCAGCAATTATAAAGAAGAGTTAAGTCATTTGTAAACCTTTTTTAGTAGCACAATGAAAATATAGGTGCATAGGCTGATTCCAACTTCCTCAATGGTGTTTGAAATATAATATATTTGTTTTGATTAACTTAAAAGAGTTTAGAGAATGGTTGTAGACCTTTCTAAGGTTAGATGGTTGAAAAGCTTGATCATGGTTGAATTATTATGTGCTATTGGTAGAGATGAAAATAATCAAATATTTCTAGTTGCTTGGGCATTACTAGAAGTGAAGCGTATAGCTTCTTGGAGATAGTTTCTTAATCTCTTAAAGTCAGATATCAATATTGGAAATGGAATACAATGGACAATTATAAAAGACCAACAAAAGGTATACTAATAGGGGTTTCATTTGTAATACTTATATAAAATATTTAGATAATTGCTTGTACAATGCAAGACCTAACCTATGCAATTGATGAGTAATAGCTAGATTCTGAGCATAGATATTGTGCTCTACATGTTTATGTGAATTGGTGTAAGAGAAGACCTCATAGGGTTGAAGAAATGAAATAATGGTTTTGGAAGATTACTAAATCTTCCATAGTTAGGCCCTTTTAAAATAACTAGAAAAATTATCTAAAAAGAACTCTAAGGTAGCTGAGGACATAGTTAAAACTCCACCTCAAAAGTGGTGTACAACTTTTTCAAAACTGATAACATATGTGAATTGGCAGACAACATCCTTTGTAAAACATTCAATTAAACCTTATTGGAAACAAGGAAGAAGTCAACAGTCTCTCTATTTGAAGGCATTATGATAAGTCTAATGTCTTGAATTATCAGAAAAAGACAAGAATGCAATAAATAGAAACGTATCATTAGTCATAACATATAGAAGGTAATTGAAAAGAATTCCATTATTATCACCCAATGTTTAGTGAGCTTTAATGGAGGTGTTGAGTATGAAATTGATGTGGGTGACGACAGGTTCATTGTAAATTTGGATAGAAAATCATGTACTTGTAAAAGTTTTGATCTTTATGGTATCCCATCTATCATCTTATCTGTGCCATATGAGATCTTAGAGGAAATGTAGAGGACAATGTATCTATTTGGTTTCATAAAGACATTTATTTTCTAGCTTATGGTAGTGCATTGTAGACCTATACTTGGAAAAAAATTGTCCAAATCAAAAACATAAAACCATTCTTCCCATTTCTATTTAGAAATATGCTAGGAAAGGCAAAAACGTGTAAAAGAAAAGATACTAATGAGCCCAAGAAATCTACAAAAAAATTAAGAAAAATTGTGAGGGAATGATATTATTATGACATGTCAATTATGTAATAAAAAAAGACACAACAAGAAAGGTGGTCCTTTTAAGGGTAATGGGGTAATTTTGTATCATCCTAAACCAAACAACAAAATAAATTTCTTTGTCCTTATATCAATCACTAACCATCTTTATTTACTTTATCTCAATGACAACAAGCATCTAAAAGAAAAATGTCTAGGGAGATTAACTTTGACCAACCTTCTGTTTTTGCTTTTGGATCTACTTCCACTTTTGTAAGAGCTTCAAATGGTGCTTTTGTTTTTTCTTGTGCATCACTTTCAGGTTTGGCCTCTGTTTTTGCATTAGCGTCACTCCAAGGTAGTGGTTTTATTACAGCCTCTATTTTTGCATCTGGTAATGGATTTGTTTCAGTCTCTATTCCAGCCTCTATTCCTATCTCTGTTCAAGCGTCTTTCTCTACAAATGTTACTTCTAGATCTACTATTGCTACAAGAAAAATTGCAAGTGTACTACTAGAATTTCAAAAGCACCAACATTTACCGGTAGATATTTTATAGATGTTGATGGAAGGTTGTATGGCATGGATGTTGGGATAAGAAGTCCATTATCAAAGGCCAATGCTGGGAATATGGCAACTTCAATAGGAAAAAGAAAAGTTTGTTGATTTGGTTTCTACTTAAGGGAGTCAAAACAAAAATCCCAACAAAAAAAAAAAGGGCAGAAAGAAGATGTAATATTTTAATATTCATGTTTTAAGCTTAAGGTTTAATTTTAAATGTCTCTGTCTCTTGTTTTGTGTAAAAGGCAATTCTAAACTCCTAGATACTTGTTCTAGATGATATTATCTGCCAGTACTGTTTTGAAGTAATGAATGAAAGTCTTTTAGGCTTAGTAAGTTTCCTAGCTTTTAAATGAGTTTCTCTCTTTATATATATAATTTTAAATGTTTTCTAGTTCAGTCAAAATAATAGAAAATTTCAATGCGTGCGCGTATATTCATGACTAGGTCTATATAAATGAATGTATGTGTGTGTTCCTATTCTTCATATAGCCCCAAGAAAATTCTTGATCTGGTCCCCCATTAATTCGTAATGTTTTCAAGTAATAAATGATGATGAAGAAGAAGATAATGAGGCAATTTCTCAGCAGATTCCCTCGGTTCAAACAAACACACCAAAATGGAAACAGTCTGAAAAGCTTGTTGCTCGGTGTGGAAGAAGAGAGAAGGTCAAAAAGAAGTGATTGAGCTGGTTAAGTGTAGGACGAATGGGCCTTCAAATTCCTCGGTCTCACGACCAGCTCAAACATCTCCTAGCCTAAAGTAAAAGTAGTAATGTAGACATTTAAACCCAATGGTCTCAAATTGCGACTTTTTTATTAAAAAAATTGAATTCAAAATTGAATTTAATTTTAAAAAAATAGTATTTGATATCTGACATGTTTAGAACTTAAATTTTAATACTCACAATTTTTTCCATATTCTCATATTATAGCATTTTTATAAAAAAAATATAAAAATTTATATGTATGGAATAAAATATAAGATGGGTTTTGCTCTATATATGGCATTTTCATGATCACGATAAGATTTGGTTCGTTTAATAACTCTATATTTGATGTAGTGATGTATAATTTTGTTTTCATGCTTTTGACATTTTGCTAGTAGTTTGCATTCCTCTTTATTAGGGCAGATGTATTCAAAAATAAGAAAATTTGAAGAAAAAATTTTCTTTGGTTATGGATATCTTAAAATTTTTTCATAGACACTCCAAAAATTGAAAAATAAAATTTAAAGGAAAATGTTCTCCAGACACCCCAAAAGTTTTTCTTTGGACACATTTTACATCAACAAAATTAATAAATTCATCGATAGTTTATATACATATATATATATATATTATAAATGAATATCTCCAAAAAAATCCTGAATTTACCACTGCCCTATAGAAAATAAAAATGAAATTTACAATGATAGTTAGGACCAACACTAGAACTTAGAATTCAAAATTTTTTTTTTTTTTACACATTCATGGTCATTAGGTGTTACTATATATATATATTTGAGGCTATTGTGATTTTTTTTTATATATATTTAAAGTTATTAAGATTTAAATTCTGATTATTAGAACTAAAAATTCAGTACTGTACCGGTAGATCATATGGTTGTTATTATATTATTTTGATTTATGGATGATAAAGTCAATAATGGAACACTGTCACCTTCTTGTTCTCAAAATCAAGTCTACATAATTCAAGTTTGGAGAAAGACTTGCTCTATTTTTCCAAATGTCAAAATGGACCCTTTATTGCGAAAACAACGACAAACTGACATTTAAAAGGCTCCTCAAGCCATTCTTGAACATAAACATGTAATTTTTCATGTCCACATATATATGTTTGACTTGATTTTCTTCTTTTCAATGAGGAGCCATCTCAGCTAACTGCATATTGAATATTCAAAACTAATTTTAATAAAAAATAAATAAACTTTTCAGCCTCTTAATCATGCTATGTATGGAAAGCAAACTCTTTTGAGTTACGCAATCGAAGGTAACTCTCAATTTTATTTCGTATATTTCCGTCCAAGAATCAATTTGAGTATTGTATTTCTTAGTTGGATTCTTAGGATTTGATTCTTGAGGGGTGTTCTTTGAAATATATTGATCTTAGTATATAAATTATATATATTATCAATTAATTGGATGATGTCGTATTATTAATAATTTTTTAAAAAAATTAAATTTTGATATATTTATTTTAAAAGCTTATAAAATTTTATATTTGATTGTTGATAAAAAAATATTATTTAATTAATTATTAGTATATAAAATTTATATATTAATAATATATAAAATTTATACACCAATGTTACATAAAATAGAAACTCAATAAAATAGCCTTTTTTGGGTTTTTGGGACAAAGAAGTGATAGACATTTGAAACCAGAAAAAAAGACTCTTTCCAAGCTGATTGGGTTCATATTGCAATAGAGTCAATAATTTGACTTGACCTGAACCACCAACTTTATGATGACTACAGATTCACATTATTTAAAAGGATTCGCTTGTGTTCAAAGCTTTCTCTGTATGATTGATGATACATGCACTGCACAAAGAAATTAAAGGAACCTTTGTTTCTTGTACTCCAATTTGCCTGCTGAAGAGATAAAGATTAAAGAGAAGATGAACATCATCAAAGGTACCGGTGATAACAAGGACGAAGATGTTCCTCTTCCAGGTTTTCGATTTCATCCAACAGATGAAGAGCTGGTGGGGTTTTATCTTCGACGAAAAGTTGACAAAAAACCCCTCAGAATCGAGCTCATCAAACAGATTGATATCTACAAATATGATCCCTGGGATCTCCCAAGTATGTTCCAGCTATCGTCTTTGATTATTAGTTTGTCATGTTCTTCAAAACATGTTTTAGTTTTCAATAAGGAAAAACGGTTCAGGTTTGCTTTGAAAGATTGAAAAGTTCCAAAAAAAAAAATAATAAAAATAGCTTATAGCCCGCTATCTGGTATTTAGTTTTTTTTTTTTTTTATTTGATACTGTTAAAATTTGACCCTGATGATTTAAAATAAAAGTTCAGCAATTTATTTACAGACCACAACGATTGTTAAACTTTTTTTTCAAAAAATTTTTTGAAAAAAATTTTCAATTATTGTATTTGTGGAAAATTAACATGTTTTGTTTAACTAGGAGTTTAATATGAATCAAGCACCTTTTGAAAAAATGAAATAGGTAACACGATAATTGTGTATTTACATTAATTTTAATCAGAACTAAACTATGGTTTTCTTCTTACTTCACTACTGCACCTTGAAATGTTTGTTCTAGACTCTTGGTTGGCGTAGAATAAGTTTCAAGTATTTCATTGTGATAGGCAACATAATTGTTGTGAAAACATAATTATTATGGTAAAATACTGGACACTTAATTTCAATGATGAAAATTTACATTCTGACACTCTCAAATACAAATATATATGGTTGAAAATAATTAGTTTTTTTTTTTTTTTTTGGTGATAAATTGGGAGTTATGAAGAAAATGTTGGTTTTTCTATTAGAAAGAAAACATATTTCTTGAAAGCCAAGGGGAAATGATAACTTTTTTCTTTTCTAAGCCAAAAGAGTTTTATTAAAGCCAAGAAGGCTGTAAAGCCAGTAGCAAGGCTGGTAAAATTAGCAGAGTACAGATTAAAGCCCATGCAAATACAAAAATATCTTTGTCTGATATAATTTCATGATCAATGAAGCAGAACCTAGCATTGCGGGAGAGATTGAATCATATTTCTTCTGCAGAAGAGGAAGAAAGTACAGAAACAGCATTAGACCAAACAGAGTAACGGGATCTGGATTTTGGAAAGCAACCGGCATTGACAAGCCTGTTTATTCACTTGGAGGAGACCCCCCTGCCTGCATTGGGCTAAAGAAAACATTAGTATACTACGTCGGAAGTTCTGGCAAAGGAACCAAAACGGATTGGATGATGCATGAATTTCGCCTTCCGACCGGAAATGAAAGTAACACTAGCACTAGCCTTTCCAACCCCACATCTACTGCACAAGAAGCTGTAAGCAAAGCATCGTATATAAGAAATTTCAATCAAACGGACCTTTTTTTCCTTTCCTTTTACTAAGCTTTCTTTCGTGGGAATAATTTATTGTTAAAGTGATGTTGGATTTTTTGTGATCTTATATTTAAATTGGATTTCTAAACTTATTGTCAATTGCTTTTATGTTCGATGTTTAACATGGAAGCTCAAATTTTGTTTTGTTATTCTTGCTTGTTATTTCTATTCATTATTTTTTAAAATTTGTTATGTATTCGTCTATACGTGATGAAAATGCATTAAAATGATGTTATTTTACATCTATTAAGTATTAGGTTTGATTTTTTTTATTCAAATTGGTATCTTCACTTATTATCAATTAATTTTAAGTTAAATGCTTAATTTTTATGGATGCTTAATACTATTTTGGGATTGCAGGAAGTATGGACTATTTGTCGAATTTTCAAGCGGAACGTATCACACAAAAAATACACACCAAATTGGAGAGAACTCGCAGCTAAACGTCCTTCAACAGGCACACCTAGCTCTCAAAACTGCAGCGTAGAATCCAACAGTCATGAAAATTACATTACTTTCGGCTCTCAAATTGTTCAAAATTATGATGAGAAGCCATTTGTGAATCATATGATGAATGGAAGCAGAAGCCAATGGCATGCAGAGCAATCGTGGAGCATAGCTCAACCTTCATCTATGGCATCATCTTCAAGCTTTTCAAACGGCCGAGAAAATGATTTCTTCACACATGCGAACTGGGATGAGCTAAAATCAGTCGTAGAGTTTGCTCTTGATCCTTTTCTTATGTAAACTAGGTTAATTTCCTGCTCTTCGCTTTTGCCACTTATATAATATTTTGTTAATAGAAATTTTGATAGAAATTTACATATGATGCAATAGTTTAAGATTACTACCAATCTTGAAAAATTAAAAGTTTTTAATTAGGGATAACAATGGATTGGATCGTGATAAATTTTTGTTTGATCGGAATGCAATCCGATTTTTAATATTTATATCTAAACTCGATCTGATTTGATATTAAAGTATTATTGTTTCATATCTGGCTTGTATTTCATAAATTGTAATAGATTTTATCTAAAATTAATTTAATAATTTTAATTTAATATTATATTTATAAAATATTATTTTTTAATATAAATTATATCTTAATTATACACAAAGATAATATTTTTATTAAGTTAATATCTTAAATTAAAATATTGAATAGTTATTTTATTAATATAATGCATATATATAATTCAATAAATAATAAATAATTTTATATAATTGGGTTGGAGCAATGCCACCTAAAACCTGAACCTGATACTTGACATTTAATTTTAAAAAAAAGAAAAACAACCTAATCGAATTAAGTTGAGTCAAAACAAATCAAGTATAGATTATTTTCCTGTCCCTACTCTTAATTAGCAAATACTAAAAGTTTTTAATAATATAATCCCATTAACAATCTTGAAAAGTTAAAAAAATATTTTACTATTGTCAAAATATCAAAATCACTTATTTAAATTTAATAATTATTGAATATTAAAGAACTTTAATTGAAGTTGATATATAGAGCAATAGCTCAATCCGACTAACAATCTTAAAAAATTAAGAGCTTGTAGAAATATTAAGAGCTTTTAATAATTCAACCCCAATAAAAATTTAAAAAATTACCAAAAAGTGTTTACTCTTATCAAAATATAAAATTGCTCAGTTAAATTTAATAATTGTTGAATACTAATTAAGAAATTTGATAGAAGTTAATATATAATATAATAGCTCAATCACACTAAAAATCTTAAAAAATTAAAAGCTCTTAGTAGTATTAAGAGATTTTAATAATTTAATCTAATAATCTTAAAAATTACAAAAAAATAATTATTTACTCTTGTCAAAATACTAAATTGTTCTTAAACCCATATATCCCAAGACACTTGTCAACAAATCAAAGTTGTAATTAAGTTTCATTTATAGGGTAAATATACATATTTAACTTCTAGTATTCGAAAATTTTCAATTTTTCCTCTAATTTTATTTTTATATTGCATTAATTACATGTCTATCTTTATTAATATTTTTTAATTCAATTTCCAATTAGTAAAACCCTTTAAAATCCTCCACAATCAAAAGATTTATTTCATTGCCCAAAATGACATGTGCCAAGTGAAGAATCTTTCTTTTGATAGTAAGTTATAGATAAGGCTTTGTAGGTTGTAATTGAATTAATTTTAATGAGATTGTATTAGTTGGTAATTTTGAATATTATCGAATAATACACCCAGACTTGGTTGTTATTCAACCTTAGGAATATTAAGGTCCAGTTCTCCTTTTCCTCTTGGATTTCTTTAGATGTAAAAAAAATAATATACAAACAAAAGAGGATTTCTTCCCATAATTTAGCATGATGTTATCTATAACAATATATTAAAGCAATTTCTGGACTGCAATTTTAAAACAACTCACCTTTGGGTTAAATTATGATTTGAAGGGTAATGGTGGAAGCAACAGTGGTTTGTAAGGTTAATTACAGAAAGAGATTTGATATGTGGGCCTAAAAAGTTGTTAAGATTAATTGAATAATTTTAAAAGAAGCTTCTGGAGGCTTCATGACTAAACAAGAACAACATAGCTTTGGTTTGAATCTAAAATATGAGAAAGCAAAATATGAAACCCCTCCTAGCATGTTTTACTCCAAAAGGTGACTACCTCTCTATTTTTTCACCGAATGGGACCTTCAAAGTATTTCTTTGTATCCTTACTTACATTTTCATTTTTTTAGAAATTTTTTGTTTGGATTGTTCTTTTTGAAAATAAAAAGAGAAGTTTCTCGATTAAGAAGCTTATAGGCAAAAAATTGGTAGCGCCTAAAACTCTTGTAAAGCAATTATAAATCTTTATCGCAACCATTTCAAAAAGACTAAATTTGCTTTCATTCCTTTTTATTTGGTTCGTAAATGAAACTCCTACCTAGGCAGGAAGAGATAGAGGAATTTTTGTTTTTGGACATCCTCCTCTTAGTCAAAATTTCTTGGAACTCTACTCGTCAAAGTTTACTATTATTATTATCGTCCACCATAGAAAATGTTAGTGTCACCTTCATTTCCATCCTCTCAAGTAATCCCATCTTGTTTTTGTCTTTTGTTGGCCAGTTATTTAGCTATCGGTGACAATATGGAACCTTAGAGGTTTAATTTTATTGATCTTGGTATTATTACTCCATCTCACAAGAAAGTTATCAAATCTTAATTTTAAAAAGCAGAAGAAAATTAAGAACAACACCAAAAATGAGAACTAAAAGAAAAAATGGTAGGCAAATTCTTACCTTTGATTTGTGATTTTATTTAATAAAATAATTTTTGGTTTTGCATTTTTTTTCATCATCTAATTGCAATGGCATGTTATAGATCTTAGGATCCTTACATAGTGGTTTAGTTTATCATGTTGGATTAATTTACATTTATATTTCTTATGTTTAATAACTTGCCCCATGAACTATAATTTTTTTTTTTTAAATATGAAGAGGATAGAAAAGGTTTATCATTGATCTTGCCAATTTGCAAATTTTATTGCTTAATCTTGATGAAGTTATGTTCATTTTTTTATATTAATACAGCTTTAGTTTCATATGGCTTGAAAGATTTAATTCATTTTCTAAAAGAAATGTTTTACATTGATGTTTGAAGGAAAATATATTTTTGAGAATATAAATACTTTTATGTTGTTTCTCATATGAAGTTGATCATATGAATACAATAACCCTAATACTTTTATCATAAAAAGGTTGCTTTTAAAACTTGAACCCATAACCCAACTCATCATCAACCAACCTCTTAATTGTGCCAATGCTTAAATGCTTCAGATAAGTGAATTTTATATCTCAAGCTTCAACCAATTAATATGCACTTGTTCATAGTATAAATGATGTTGGTAAAGTATCATAACACTTAATAGTTTCTTTATTTATCTTTTTTTTTAAAAAAAAAATAATTTCGCATAAATGAATATAAGATTTTTAAGTGCTTTGAATATTTTTGTATCAATGTGATCAAGAACTACTCTTTGAACTCGAATGTATTCAAGTAACTTAAGTCTATTTTTGTTTTCAATTTCTATATGCTTTTTAGTTTTCAAATGTATTAGAACCAATCTCTAAACTTTGTCTTGCTATGACAACTGTTAAATATACAATAGCATATCATTTAATTAATTCATTTTTTTTGTTGATTATATAAAGTAATTCTTATTATTTAGATGATTAATGTTTAAAACATTTTTCAAGTTGATTGCCATCTTGACACTATTAGCGTAGTTACGGGGATAATAGGCTATGCGATATTGAAAGTATTCACTAATCTTTTTACTTTTTCCCTTATCTATCTATAATATTGTATAAAAGTTATCATTTACCTCTCAACTTCTCAATTTATTGTACACATAATCATTATATTTAAAAATAATTAGAAGGGTAATTAAGGGAGGGGAGAAAACATAGAGAGGAAAAAGAGAGATCAAAAGGAAAATTTTTAGAAATGCATGGAGATGCTTAACATTTTGCTTTCCTCATGTACCAAATATGTACGGCTTCTAGAGTTTTCTAAAGATACATTGGCTTACAACAATTTTCTTTCTTTTTAGGCCTTTATTCTTTCTTTTTTAATCAAGGTAATTTTTTTGTTCTCATTCTATCAATTTATTAATTTATTTAATCTTTTTTTTTAGTTTTTAATTGTTTAATTGATTTATCTATTAACAATATTTGGATTCAATACTACATTTGACCATTGAATGCTAATATTTTCTCTCCCCAAATCCCCTTTTCTTTTTTTGGTTCTCTTTGGTTTTTCTTTTTCTTTAACATTTACTCTTCAAGAAAGATACCCATAAAGATTACCAATGTATGTTCCTTTTTTCAAGTTTTCTAGTCTGAGTTTTTAGTTTTTAATGTATTGGGAGACGAATGGGTTGATGGGTATTTATTGCTTTGTCATCATATGATTTAAAGTTTGGATTTTTTTTTTCATTTTTAATTTTGTTCTAATGGTTTATTTGATATTGAAAGGAATAAGAAGGTAAGGGGTTTTGAAATAGAGTATGTTACAAGAACTAGGTTCCATGACATCAATTTGGCTTTAAAAAAAATTGAAAAAATAGGTTGGTTTTCTTTCCTCCTTTCTTTTAATGTTAGCAAAGAGAAAGGAAAAGAAACAAGGAAATAAACTTTCTATTTTTTCATTGGAAAAAAGATCATTTTCAATAATATTAGCTTTTTACATTTGTTTAAATAATTACATGGTGTTACGGTGATTTGTCCTGGTAGGCTCAAATATTTATTGATAAATATTAAATACCTTCTCATTATGTGTTTTTTGGTCTGTTTTTTCTTTGAAATATAAGCTATATTTTTTTTTATCTCCTGCTTCTGTTTGATTTGTTAAAAATAATTTTAGTAAGAAGTTTGAAAAAAATAATAAGTTTGTTAGAACAAATAACTATATTCTCTTAAACTGTCCTCATATTATGCTTAAAAAGAATTATTGAAACAAATAGGGCCAAAACTTATGTGTTGTTATGCATGAATTAAGATGAATTTTGTTAAGATTGATAAAGTTTGTCTTATTTAATCATTGATCTTAGAGGAAATCATCTTTAAATGCAAATCCCAAATGAGATTGCTCTGTTCATCTCTGAAAAAAAGTGATTTTATTTATGTTTTGAATTTTAATTCCCAGAATAGATATTTTAACTTCGACAAGTTGGCAGAGCTTGGTTTCTTACCATGCAAATTAGCTCATCCATCTATTGCAAGATGGAGTTCCATCCATTTAACTTATCTTTGTGATGGAATGGATGTCTTTATATTGTTATGTGATGTCTCTATTGATATTATTAATAATGGTTGCGTTTTCCATTTATTGGGATGTTAGGACAAGTTACTAAAATTGTTACAAGAAATCTTGATAAAATAATTGATGTTAATTGTTACTCTGTTGAAACTACCAAAAGATCAAATTTGCACCATAGACCAGTTGGCATTGAAATTTAGGGGCTGACAATCA